TTTTTTGTTTGTTTGTTTTGGGGGAGTTTTTTTTTTTTTTTTTTTGGCTTATATATCCTCGGGGCTAGCATGTTGTCTGGCCTTTAGCTTGAGACACTTAATAAACCTTTGTTATGTTAGATTGAATTGAATAGCTACCAGGTTGCATAAAGCCTTCTTAACTGGTGCTAAAGTATAAAAAATCCCAGTTACCTTAGATTTTCAGCTCATACATGAGGAGTCATTTTAGTCACTGATATAAATGACTTCATTTTTAATCAGACTTTTCATATTTGTTTCATATTGATACTCCTCCATGTATCCTATGAATATTTCTATTTCATGAAGTAACAATATTAATAAGCTTTTAAAATTGGCAAAATTTCTGGTTTCTTGGCTAGAATTTATTCTTTTGTTACAGCTCTCTTCTAGAATATTGTAAGACTGCTATTTGCAAAACATTTTTGAGTTGAGACTTAAAATACTAGTGTTAATCCATTACTATTGAGAGCTAACTATTAATATTCAATTCTAACAATACTATTGTTTCTATCACTATAAGTTAGTCAGGGTCCATTATTATGAAAAAAACACTTTATCTGGAAATTCCACAAACCATTATGTCTCAACTAAATGAAAGCCTTGCTTTAAACATAAACTGGACAAAGAGTAGTGTAGTAAAACAGAGATGTCTTTGTAAATGAATTTTTTTTTTTGGAGATGGCAGTGCTAAAAAAAAGTCTGCATAATTATTTGACTATCTTAAGAGTAGCAGGGATTAAAATAGCTCCAGCCTACAGCTGTCCCAGAGCTCAACTAGTTCTAAAGATATGAAGGACTCTGTAGGCACCAATGGGTTCCAAACTTACTCTAGAGAAGTTTCCCAGGGTTCAGAAAAATTGAGATCTTTTGGTATCATCTTAACAAAACTTGAGACCTTAGAAGAGACAGAGACTAAATGACTGAGGGGAAAATAGACTCAATATATGTATGTTCATTTTGGAAAAGCTATGATCTCCTAGATTTGATCAATATCTACAGTTTATTAGTATCTCGCTAAAATACAAATTTCTCATTTCCCCCCTTGATGTGAAATAGACTAGTGTTAAGAAATCTGGCAATAATTTTCCTTATGGATAATATTCTTTAATAAGGTTCTGTTTACAAAAAAAAAAAAGAATGTGATTGTATTCGTACTTCAATTCAACAGGCATTAAGTAGGACACAGCACTTATAAGCCCCTAGATTTAGAACAGTACACAACTTTTGAAGCCATTAAGACCAATCCTCACATCTTACAGTTGAGAAAACTGAAGTGAACAGAGAAGTTAAGTGACTTGCCCAAGGTCACACAGCTAGTTAAGTATCTGAAATGGAATTTGAACGTAGGTCTTCTTGATTCCAATTCCAGTGTCCTATACACTATGCCATTATACTTCCTATTGTTGACTAGTAAAGAAAATTGAAACTAAATTTTATGCTGATGAGTTCAGTTGACAAACATCACACTTCTCAAGGGTTGATTGAATTACAAAACAAATCAAAGTTGTGTTACAACTGTAGTTGTTCCCTTCTAGCAGTAGATGCCAGTAGAGTTCTTCTGAATTAAAATTGAATTGAGACCAGCAAGGCCATAGCAACAACTTCCTCTTAGAATTGCTATTTTTAGAAAATATGATATAGGGCTCTTATAGTTCTATATCGTATTTTCAATAGGACTTTATAACAAGTCTTTGCAGTTTTTGTTGAAATTATGTAAAGATTTTTTCAGTTTAATATTTTACAACAACTTAACCGTTAAAACTTTACTCGATATTATAGTTATGCTTACTTAACCATATTACATAGCCATATTTTTATCAATTAAAATTAGAGTTCAACTCAGGGATTTAGGAGATTGTTAATTTGTAACTCAGGCATTCTTGAGTTGTAGGCTCTGGAAAATGTATCGGTTGAAAAACTACAGTGTATTCACTGCTTCCTTTTATTTGTTAATATAATTATAATGGCTTAACTAATGGCAATGGAAAATGAAAAGCAATGGGGAGCATTTATTTAGCAAACATTAAGTACCTACTTTGTGCAACACATTGCTAAGTGAGATGAAAATAAATAAGTGTAGTCTGTCCTCAGGGAGCTTAAAATCTAATTAGGGATGAGGCATGTATGCAAATAGGTTTTGAAATCAAGACAAATATAAAACCATGCAGTATAGATAAATGTTATAAGAATTCATAGAAGGTAGGGGTCAATGGGAGTTAGAGTGACTGATGAAGACTTCTCAGGAGAAGTGGGACTTGCAAAAAAGAAAGAAGGAAAGAAAGAAATGTGAAGAGTAGGAGTGCCTTAGGATTGGAGATGGGCAAATACCACTTGCAAAAAAAAAAAAAAAAAGAGAATGGTAGGAGGAGGTGAATTTTTTATACTCTCCACTGAGGAGCTTGACTTTGGACCCTGACAAAATTCTAGAACATTTTATTAAAGGACTGGTGTGTGAGCACTTAGAAAAGAACATGATTGTCAGTATCAGTGAACAAGGGCTTATCAAGAACAAGTCATAATGGACTAATCTCATCTCTTTTTTTTGACAGACTTACCAGAATGGTAGATCAGGGCTGTACTTCAGGAATAGCTTTCTTGTATTTTAGCAAGGCAGAGCCTCACAATATCCTTATGGACAAGGTAGAGAAATGCAGACTAGATGGTAGCTTAGTTAGGTGAAAGAAATAAGGAGAATTTACCCAATGGTGTTTAATGGATGGAAGCCAGATGTGGCAACCTCAAGAAGAATATGTCCACACAGACATATTCTGTTCAGTATTTTTGTTGATTGAATATTTTATTAGATGTTTCCAAGTGACACAAAACTAGAAGGGCTAGCTAATGTTTTGGAAGGTAGATTCAGGCTCCCAAATTTCGATTGGCTAAAACAATGTTCTCAATCTAATCAAATGAAATTGAATCAAGATTCATACTCAGGTAAAAAAAAAAATCAACTCCAATGTACAGAATGAGGAAAACATAGCTAGATAATAGTTCATGGAGAGAAGACCTGAGGAATCTAGTAGACTGAAATAACTCAATATGAGGAAGCTGCATCTTCTAAATTTTTTAGATGGATGATTTTATTTAATCTATTTCACAGAGTATACAATTAGCACCATTCATTAGTCATGGTATCTCCTGTTAGTTTCTTATGTTTCCCAAATTTGCTGATAGCTTAGGCAGTTGTTCACCTTTGTTGTATCTGTCACTTAGGCAGATGGTAGGAAATCTGGAATAAGGTATATTTAAGAGAATCTCTCCCTTGAGTTTGTTGCCTTCTAAAATAGCCCAAGTTAGAATTTGCCAACTCAACATTGTACAAAGAGAGATCTGTTGCACCTTGCTCACAAGATAGTCATTAAATACTACAGGGTGCCCATGTTTTCTGATCATAGATGATAAAATTTAAATTTAGTGAAATAGTACTTTACTGAGACAGATAAGGAACTGAAGGTTACTGGAAGTTGCTAAGTATTTATAACGTCATTAGAAAGGAGAATGATGCTTAAATTCTTTTTTTTTAACTAGATTTCCTGGTAATAGATATTAGCACCAAGATTGCCTTTTTAATTTGGTCTAGTTGGTTGTTTTATTGACTTTCAATTCTCTGCATAGATTGTAATATGTTTATTTTTAAAAAATTTTTATTTAATTGGCTTTTTTTTAGACTATCATATATAAAATGCCTTTATGTTTATTGATCTCATTATTGGATGTTTTTACATTAAAAGGCTATTAAAGTCAGGGCTTTTAAGGCAGATATTACAAGGTATTGTTTTTTTTAAATCACCACCTTTTAGTTGAGATGAAATGAGAATGTTTTACTAAGTGAAGCTCAGAAATGTGCTGTTTGATACAACAGGAAACAGAACAGCAGTAGTGGTTTGAATACCCTGCAAACAGGAAGTTTGATACTTACATAGCTCTTAGTTTCGATGTTAGAAGTTATTGAGCTTCTTCTGGCCATCGTCTCTGGTATTGAAAAGTCTTATATAGGTGAATGGCAGCTAGGAGGGAGCTGCCTTGTAACCAGTGCACAGGGACTACCACTACTCTTCAAAAACTTGAAGGTTTTGCTAGCCGATTGTTTCATAGACAGACTAAGGGTACAGCCCATGATCTGAAAACAGCTCTGGAAAATGACAGCCTTCATTTCTCTGAGTACACTGCCTTATGGGACAGATCAAGTAAGTCTTCCTCTGGTAGCCTTCAATTTGAGATAACTAACAGAAGCTTTGAGAAGTTAATGATTGAATTTGATCTAAAGAACAGCATGTTGTTGGAGGCTTTTTCTGGCTTATAACTACTTCTTCCTTCGTAGAAGGACATTTTGTGAGCTCAAGTTGAAGCTACTCCCATATTACTTCTTAACTCGTGCAGTTTTATTTTTCTTGATCATCAGCAGATAGGCTTTATCATGGTGTTTTGTTAGCCCTGGTGGTGTCTACGAATTCTTTAGTTTCAGATAAAAATGACTAGATTAAAAATAATTCGCTTTAAGTCCTTGGAGGTACTAAGCCTCACATGTTGTGGAAATTGATTATATTTTTAATTGAAGGGTTCTGTTATAAGAATGACAATGTTTTCGTTTGGATTGCAGTTTGTGAAAGTCATTTCAGCATTGTAAGCAGGATTCTACAAAGTTAAAAGGTTCATGTTATTGTTTTACTTAAAATTTTGCTTATAGAATTATACATTTAATTGTCTTCTATAACTTTTCAATGCTTTTGTATAATCTGTAATTTCTGGCTAATCAAAGCCTAGAATTTTATAACAAAATGATCATAATTATTTTGATTCATACATCAGATATTCTCCAGGTCATATTGAAGTGTTTAGATTATATTTTTTCTAAAACATGAAATCAAACTATCTTTGGGAACTTTGTCCTTTTATTTAAAAATTATGTAAAAATAGGAGCATCTCCTCTAAATTCCATCTCACCTTAGGCTCTCCCCTAAATTGTTTGATTAGCTTCTTTGATTGGATAGAAAATGGAATACTCCAGATTATCTTGTACCCTTTAATGGATTTATTAATTGATCATCAAACTACTCATTCAGTGCTGAGTTTGTCCTTTTTGGTTTATATCAGTTAAGGACATATGCCTTTCCTCTGACATACTTACTCGTAGAGTGACCCTGGGCAACTCATTTAACCTCTCAGTGGCCTAGGAAAATACCTAAGATGACAAATCACAGAGAAGTTATGAATGCCTATCACTAACCCAGGAGTTAAGGGGAAAAAAAGCTACAATTTAAAATAAAATGCTTCATCTGAGTATACTAGGTCTATTTGACTTCTCTTCTTTCATAGGTTGGATAGAGATGGTATAAACATATGCATTTCAAAAATGTTATACCTCCTGTCAAGATATTAAGAGATATAAAAGGGAAATTTATGTAAGGTATATTGGTGTAAAGACCATTCATTGTTTTCACTTAAAGTGTCTTGATCATCTTTAAGGAGGCACCACTATATAGCTAATAGTAGCTCTGCATTTTAGTGGAGGAAACTCAGACCCAATTTCAGAGTAAGTGAATAGTTCTGTTTACACAACGAATTAATTAAAATCAATTAAAAGGCTCCCTGTAACAGAAGTTTCACCCACATGACCTGCTGTGGTCTATTTCCTTACTCTCTTAAGCTGCTTTAGAAATAATTATTATTCTTTATAAAGGTCTAATAATCTAATAGTACTTTAATTGCTAGGATTTGGACTTACACATTTTTGATGAATGAGTTTCTTTAGTAATAGCTACAGAAATTTAGGAGTGGGACAATGTCATGAGCAAAAGACCTCTAAATGGGGTGTGAATATAACTTGTTACCTCATGAAAAAGATGCTGTTAACACTTAGCCTTAGTATAAATTTATAAGCTTATGTAAGTAGAATCTTTTTGGCTATAAAAGTGCAAACCTAAAAGGTATTAGTATTCAAGAAGTCTCAGTGGTGAATAAATAGACCTCATGGTTCAAGAACAATGGAGTTTTATTAATCAAATAATCTCCTTATTTGATTATCCCTTTATTTTTAGATGACCATCAAACATGCAGGAACAAAAATGTGTTAGGATGTGCATTACAAAGAAAAGTATACTAATAGTACTTTAAGTGTTAAAGAAATTATTGATTTATGATATAGAGGAGAAACTACTAAACAGATAAATTATCTTCATTATTTAAAGATTGTAAAGGTTCATATTATACAATAGTGAAGTAGAAAAATATTTAAATGGCAGCCTTCCTTCATTTCTTTAATAAAATGAGTGTTGGCTTATTAACATCCTTAGAATAGGCACTGTTTGCATACAAGCTGCATTCTTCTTAGATGTAGGAAGCATTTACTTGCATAACTTGTTTGACAAGGAAATGGAATGTCATGTACACTGATGATAATTTGGTGAATATAATTGTTTCTAAAGTGCTAGTTTAAGAAATTCACTAAGCAAAGAGGCTGGCGTGTATAGCATCAAACAAATGAGATTGTGAGCTATTGAGTAAGTCTGTTGACTATAAGGTAGACCTAAGGTACCATTCAACCAGATTTACCTCCATTATTTTTTGCTTCTAAGGTGACATCGATATAGATAGTCTTTGGAAATGGGTTTGGTGTTTTTGATTTGCAACTATCTAGTAGCAGGAAGTTGATTCCTACTCAGTGATACAGATAAGGGGGGCGGGGCATGAACTCTTTATATCTTTTAATACGCCCCATTTATCTGGCACCATGTCAGAAGTTTCTTAGAGTCATTTTAATTGATACCCTTTCTAGAACATTACCAGAAAAGTAGCCTCCTTATTGACTACCCCCTGGGCACATGGAATACCTCTATTTGCTCTGGCTCCGTCAAAAAATCAGGAAAATAACTACTGTAGACCCTACGATTGAAATGATATAGTGATGTATTGGTCTAATTCTTTTTATGAAGCCAACTCAAAAATGCTATCTTTTGTGGCACTTAAAAACTCACTCTGTTTGTTCTATTTTGACTTTTAAATTTTAATTTAAAAATCACATTGTATCTGTTCTTTGCTCTATAAGTCTTACAATGAACCTCTTTCTCAAAAGAGTATAGTTATGCTGACTTGTATAATGACTATTCCAGAAGCACTGAGTTCTTAAGATGATTACTTGGTTTATATAAAAATATATATTTTTAATTTGACAATTCATTTGGGAAATCAGTAAGGCATACACATTGTGAAAAGTTTAAAGAACAAAAAATAGTATATGATTACTTGCCAAAATGAGTTACATAGGTTTAAGAGTATTTGCTTTTGGTAGGCAAGGAAATGAAAACACATAGAAAGTGAATGACTTGCCCAAGGTCATACAGACAGTAGATGGCAGGGCTGGATTTTGAACCCAAATTACTCAACAATTTGATGTTGTTGTTTCCACTAGTGTCCAGAGTAGTTAATGTGATTTGCTAACACCTCTGACATCTTACCAGTAGAATCTGAAAAACACATTATAAGTCTTCGAGTATTACCAGTAGCCTCTGGTTTTTGTCTTCTTAATGGCCACTTGAAGATTCTCATGATCAGCAAGCCAGGATAAAACCAGTTTTAAGGGGCAAGAAGCTTAGCGGCACTTGTAATACTGAATTTAATAGAAGTTTAGAAATGTTAGTATGTTTCCTTTTTAAATGTGGGTATATTTAATGTTACATTTTTTGTCACTTTCAAAGTATAGCAAGCTTGGGTAGTTTATCTTAGCCGTACTATGCAATGCAGCTCCCTTTCATCCTGGCCCATGAAAAATAAAAACTATTGCTAGTCTGGTAATAAGATTCATTGCAATAGTCACTGCCAACAGGGCAGCATTTTAGCATCTATGAGATTGGCTGGTAGCAATAAGATCAGAGTGTAATTGAAGGGTATTTAGAACAAGTCGTTTTGTTTGACTTTATCCAAATTCAGGATGGAATCAAGAAATAAACTCTGTGCTTGAGAAACTGTAATTCATAAATAAACTTTTATATCTTGGAGAGCTGTAAGGAGTATTACTGCCAGATGAGCACTGGAAATGACATATGAGGGTACATTTAAAATCATCTAACACCAGAAACATAGAGGAGAATCCTATGTGTTTGGATTGATTAAAGGTTTTGAGAAACTTATTGGTTATAAGTGAACTGATAATTCTGGTCTAATGTTGCCATGGTAACAATTCATGCTAGGTATAACCGAGAACATCTTAAACACGCTGGCGTTTAAACTTTTTTTTTTCCTCTCTGCCATTTTAAATTGCTGTTGTAGTGGTGGTATATGCAAGAGGAGAGGATGTCTAGATGAGAGCGTAATAGACAAAACCATCCATGCACGTCTTGGCTCCTCTCTGGTGTTAGCTAGTGGCATCTTGGGTTGGTTAGTTGGGCTTTCCTTCCAGAAGTTTTCTTAAGGAAGAAAAGCCTTTTTTCCATTTCGGTGTGGCTTCAATGTGTTTACAGGATCAGTGCTTCTACCTCTAGAGATTAACATAACTCACAATACTGTTAGATGGTTATTATAAGCGAAGTGTTTTAGAAAGACTGGTTTTCAGCATGAATGGTAACTCTTCACTTATTTATTAAAGCACATTTAGATATGAAGGGAAAAGCCTTTCCTTTCCAGAGGGAGACTAAGACCAGTACTACATTAAATTAAAAGGTGTGTTGAGGCTTTTGTGATCATTCACTTAGAGAAGCTAAATAAAAGTCTTGTAAAAACTGGAAAATATGAAGAGCCCACTATCAGGAGCCAATGTTAATATGTAAGTTCCTCATTTTTCTTTCATTGGGTTTTAATGTGCCATTTTAAGGCTTTCATATAAATACTCTTATAAATCAATGAATAAAAGCCATGAAATTAGAGGAGAAGATTTATTTTCTTGCACCTGGCTCCTAAAAATAATCAGGTTATTGTCATTTGAATACTTTTATGGATCCCAACACTTAAGATTTTCATTTGCAATGATATAAAAAACAAACATACTAGCCAGCCTTGAGATAAGGTATAGATGAAGACTTTATTGGGATACTTGGAGACAGGGGAGTATAGTTAAGAGGATGCTCTATTTGGAGCCAGAGGACATGGCTTCAAATGATGGTTCTGCTACTTCCCACCTGTGTCACCTTGGGCAAGTCATTTCTGCTCTTTGGGCCTCACTTTCCTCATCTTTAAAATGAAGGGATTGATAATAAGTGATCACGATGATTCCTTCTAGCTCTAAGCATGATCCTATGAACATTTCTAGCTTTGGTTAGAAGAGAAATTGAAATTCAGATAAAATTGTTTCTCTGATTTCTTTGATTAAGAATTTTCAGAACAATCTTTAGAGAGAAATAATAACCCACTAATGCTTTAAATGGGATAATTAATCTCCTATTTGGTTTTATAACCTAAGCTGTTTCTTTAAAAAAAAAATTTGTATAGTCTATTCCATAATAGAATAGAGCATTAAATTATACATTTAAAACCAAACCTGCAATTTTAGAATAGATATCCACATGTACAAGACACAGCATGGTATAATGAATAGAGAGCTGGGCTTGGAGTCAAGAAGACCTGAGTTCAAGGCTAACATATACAGGCTATATGTCCCTGGGCAAACATTTTAACTCTCAACGCCCCAGGCAAATCTCTAAGAAGATAATATAATTTGCAGATTGAGGTCTTGTTGGTCCCCTATAATGATTGTATACTTTCTAGCTAGATCTTGGAAGTAATAGTCACACATTTGGCACATAAGGTAGCTCTTTAGAGATTTTGGCATTGGTGGAGGCAGGAGGGTAGTTTGTTATTACCTGAAAAAAAGTGTTCTTTTTCCCTTCCTCTGGTTTCTCTCTGACTCACATTCAAGAAAAATCTGTATATAATCCACATTTATCTTGTCCAGTCTTGTCACTTCTATTTCTCCATGTCCTCCATGTGAGTAGAAAAGGGATGGTAATGAGAGATGGAGAAATAGAACTAAGAAAACTTGATCATGGATTGGATATGGAAGGTGAAAAAGAAAAAATGAACCTAAGGACTGGGAGGATAAAAATAGAGGAAACTTAGAAGTTCCAAAATTAAGGCATAGGTCTGACTGTGTTATTCTCTTTTTTCATTGAACAATCATTAAATTGCATTGTGCCTTTATTGAGATAAATGAAGGAAAGTCACTTTTGGAAAATTGTTTTTAAGACACATTTTTTAAAACAAAGGCATCATATTAGGGAGTAGGTGCTAATCTGCCTTACCATTTGGATACTAAAATATGCACTTATTGGAGAAAAGAATGATTCACATTCTATATACTATAATACCCACTTTCTGTATAGCCAAGCTTTATGTTTCCCACTGCCTATTTTGCGCTGTTTGTTAATACTGTTAGCTTTTTTTTTTTAATCTTGAGAGATGTTTTCTAATCAGTTACTTTTAAACACCTAAAATAATTATCTGCAAATAACTACTGCTTGTTAATCACTTTTTGGCATGGCCTAGCAAAACAAAAAAACACTCTAAATGCAATTTATTAAAATTGAATCCCCCAAAATGGAAACAAACGAAGAACTTGTTACTCTTATATAAATATTAAGCAATTTGGTCTCAAATTAATGTGCCTTTGTGTACTTTTTTAAAGTGCTTACTGGGCTCAGATTCTTATAATCTAGCCAATAGCTTACTAATCTTCAGACTCCTTAAGAGTCTGCCCAATATGGCGGATGTTCTAATAAACCTTGTCTTTGGCTGGAAAAAAAAGTGCTTGCTGTAAATTCATGTATTAGAATTGAACAGAAAAGTGTTTTCTCTGACTGCAGGCCTCTATATTGTGTTGTGCTGTTGTGGTCCTATGCTTTCTATGATGGTCTGCCCTCAGTACTTATACTTGCAAACAGACTTTTGTTAAAGGTGATTTAAAACAACAGAATATCATCCACAGCTGTTATCAGGACGGATATTAATGAAATTAATAGATGTTTACATGTAATAGTTATTTTGTCTTGTGTTGGTATGAAACATTTAACATCACCTTCGACTCTGTTTGCAGGGATATCATTGTTGATGTGCTATTAGATTTGGAATTGTCAAAGTGATTTTCATAGAATGATATTTTAGAATAATTTTTTAAAAAAATGGGCCCAATAGCAGTGCTTGCTTCATATTTAGAAGGAGTAAATCATTGTCTTGTGTTTCTGAGATGCATGCTTTTTGACACAGTTATCATAGTAGACATAATCAACATTAGGTAATTATTTCAAACAATTGTGATACACAGTTAGCAAAAAAAAAAATGCATTTTCTCCATTTTCAGTGAGAGACTTCCTGTCCAAGGCCAAGGAAGAATTCTTGAGGAAATGGGAAAATCCTACCCAGGTAAACAATTTAAAAATTTTCTATGACTTTAAAATCTTAGAGAAAATGAAGGCCTGATTATTTCCTGAAATGATAAACCAACTTAAGAACTTTTGTTAATACAGCAATGATTATGATATGTTTAAATGCTTAAAGTGAAAAAATGGTGAATTGAAGTTTGCAATATGGATCATGCAACTTTGAACAAATGTAGATGCTACTTATTTTTATAAATTTTGAAGAAAATTTAATTTTGCCAGCTTTTTAATATGCCATGATGCTTCTAATAGTAGTCATAATATAAATATTTGATAATTATTATTCTCAAATACCAGCAATGTTAAGTACTATTGTCTAGAAGTGTAAATGGTATATAGTTTAAAAAATATAATCATTATTAGTATCTGCCATCATACCAGTTGAATAAGGATTACTTTATAAACTCAATTTTATTGGTAAAAAGATGAATTTAGATGTGTTTTGTTTTTCTATTCTCATTATCTAAGCACAGTGTCTTAGATAGTTTAGACATGGAACAAATATATGCTGGAATTGAATTTTGAAAGATAAGATTAAGAATAACTTTTAAAAGATTTTTTTCTTTTATAAAATTTTAATTCTTTGGGGAACTAAAGAAGAAGGTGGAGATTTTGGCTGTAAAATGAATTTTGAAGGACTTTTTGTAACATTGAACTTTAAATATTTAAGAAATCTTTCTACTAAGGAATATTTAATTCTAAATAATCATAGTAATTTTATAATCCCTGCCAAGGTTTTGGGGGTATCACTTATAATTTAAAATGCAGTCATACTAATAATTGCAAACACTATTTAAAACATATAACAGAGAAATACTGTAGGAGATAGGGAATACTTTGAGCAGGGGGAAAAAAGGAAGACCTGGCAGAAATGAATATTTTGTACAAAATTTTTGTACTAAAGGTTTTTAGGCAGGTAAAATGCTGCATTAGCCGTTGAGAAATAG